TCGCGAGCCATTTGTTCATCTGAACTTTCGAGGGGCTTCTCTGACTCTACAGGAAGAGGGTCTGAAAAACTTATATCCATCTTTGATGATGAAAGGTCAACCTCAGAAGGAAGAAATGGCACTTTTACATTACCTATTAGTACGGAGCAAGAAATTGATGGGAGCTAGTACGGCTTCAGACCAACTGTGAACCATTTAGACCTAATGTAACACCGGATGGTAGGAAAAGTGTCTGTATGCTTCAAGTAGCTCTGAAAGTATAGCAGAGGAATGATATCTTTAAGAATATGAAACAGGTTTATCAGAATTGACTATACATGTGCAATCAGTGTCTCGTAAAATGGTAGATCATTAAGTCAATTAACTGTTCCTGAAACAGAAGGGTGCTTGGTCAATTACAGTTCTTTAAAACATCTTCCAACTTTTTGGACCTTCTTAGAAGGGACAATCTGGACGTTTATGTCCTTAACACCCACACAAATGACAAACAGGAATAAAAGAAGTCATTTTATTTCCAACTCTAGGAGGGTGCTTTGATTTCATAAGGTCTGATGAACCCTTACCCTTAGGGTTCGATTCCCTTTAGGTCTTTATACGAATTGTCGAGCCTCAGCATACAGGTAGCAGGCTCAGCAACTTCTCAGCTTTAATCAGGTTAGTTCTCTGATGATGTTCGTATCTGATGGGGAAGAGCAGTGAGGAACTGAGTCAGCAACCATGAAGTCTCTAGAGATTCATAACTGCGATCAATTCCTGAACTCACTAATCCAAAAGTCGACAAAACTGCTGAAAGTTCTGGCCAGGCTGTAGGTGGCATGCTGAAATGTTTCCTTGTTAGATTTAGTGGTTTTCTGCATATGCTTTAAGGATTGCCTTCTCAGTAGGTTTTTAATTACATATGATATCGTGCAACAAAGTTGCATAGATATTCAAAGCTGTAACAGAAAATAACATTCCAACCTGGTAGCCCAGGTGTCAGCAGGCCATTCACAAGGGTAGCGGTATTTTCAAACCTGATAATGTATAAAAGTTAATGTCTTCCCCCTCTGTGAAGGGAGGTAAATTAGGTGTTGGAATATGTGCACTAGCTGAAACGTTGTCCATTACTCCTTCATCTAACTGCTGTTGTGAAAAAGGGAAACTTTTTTTTCCTCTAATTCAAGGCGAGTTTGTTCGAGCTCGCGATCCTTTTCTCTCTCCCTTAACTCATATTCTCTATCCTTTGCTCTTTCCTCAAGTTCCCTTAATTTAACTTGTTCCTTACGTACTTTAGCTCTTTCCTCACGATCAAGTCTATCATGCTCTTTCTTGTCTTCTCTTTCGATTCTCAATCTGTCCTTTTCCTCTTCTCTTTCGATTCTCTCTCTCTCCTTTTCAATTCTTTCCTGGATTTTAGCACTAATGAAAGATTCTAAATTTTTCCCTGTTATTCCTAACTTACTTCCAGCGTTCATCCAAAACTGGTATTCCTCCATATTTGCAAGAATAACTTAAACTACCAGGGGAAAATGAAAGGGGCATTAAAGAAAACGGAGGGTTCAATTCCTGCTCCGCTCAATAGTAAATAAATCAGAGAGCTCGATCCCTACTTCAATTAAACAATATGTATTAATGAAAACGAAGGGTTCTATGCCGGCTCCGAGCAAACAGTAAGTAGAATGGGGTCCCTTGACCATCCAATCTTCTCACCAACAAATCAAGAGTGTCCTACGACAGTTCCCTTAATATAATAAAGAGCTCAATGAAACAAATTGTCACTGGAAAATCTCGGGTCCCTAGAGTCTAATCCTCCAATGTGTTTCAAGCTCACACAAAAAAGTGGCAGAATTAAATATTACATCCTGTTTGACTTGACTTACAATAAATTGAGACTATAACAATCACCAAATCTTTTAAATACCTGTACTGTAGCCCCTACCATAGAGAATGATTACTCATGGCTGTGGTAACCGTCTGTGGTATGCGGCGTTGAAGTTCCAATGGTAGATTCGAGATAAAATTTGAATCTTGATTCAGTCGAGTTGATCCTGGCAAGGTCGCCACTTGTGAAGGCTTACTCAGACCTGTAACAACTTCAGTCAGTATTACTAAGGCTGGCTCCTCCTCAGGAAAATTAATGAATAAAAAAAGAACAAAAACGACAAATATAAAAAACTTTATTATTTAGGAAATATGAAATATAAAACATTTAAAATATGAAATACTGATCCTACATGAAAGAAAATGAAAAATTAAAAATATAAAATGATATCTGAATTCAACGCAAAAAAACCTTGGGTGTCTGGTGTTGGTGACACTGTGTGTTGTTGCAATAGAAGCCGTTGCTGAGGGTGTGGGGGGGGGGGTCGCAGTTGTTGGTGGCAACCCACTGGCTGTTCTAGTGGCCGTAAGAAAATCTTTCCCGATGACAGGAGATCAGGTTCTTGACCGCTGTAATGAGGGAGGGGTTATGCCCTGATTTCTTCATACAAATGCACAGGCAATTTAAATCCAATATGGGACGTCTCCAGGACGTTAGTCCGTCTCCTTCATTTTTCCTCGTTGATTGACAGGTGACCCTCTGTCACCCAAGAGTATTTGGGCGGAGCGGGAAGGGGCCCAAGTCACCTTCGGGGGGAAGGAGGGAGGGGAAGGGGGTGGGAGCTAGACTGACCCTATGTTAACAAGCAGCCGGCAAACAAACTATCACTTTAGGGGTGGGGGAGAAAAGGCGGGAATAGCGGGAGTGACTTACCCTACCTTAACAAGTAGCCGGCAATGAAACTATTGTTACTATATATTCCCTCGCTACTCCTATCTATTGAACTTTTCCCTCACAAGCAGCTTCAAATCCAGCGGGAGAAAGCTGGACCTACATGTGAGAAAATAGGTCTGCATGGTCAGTGTACGCTGTATAAATAAAAATCGTGGGACCCGCATTTCATTGTGGGAATGCCATTTCAGTAGTCCTTGTTTATCATGCCTCGTGGTAAGAAATATCTCACTCCCCAGGGAATTGGGGCTCTTCTCTTCCCAAATGATAGATGTAACACAGATGAAAGTGCAGTGAAGGTGAATTCCATGGTTTTGAGGAGTTTGTGACCAAAAACAATGCCCAAGATACCACAAATAGTGCTTTCTGCACTATTTCTAGTATCCTGACAACAATAAACCTAGGATAACCCCAAAAAATCAGACAAAGTGACTTATTTCTATGCGAGTGGTGGGAAAGACAGCATGCTTGTTGGGGAAGACAGTGTGGGTAATGGGTGGTAGTGGTTGTGTAATGGGTCATTGTGACACCAGTTTAGTTAGTTTAATATGTTTATTATGCACCCCATACCCATCCTGTAGGTGGTAGTCAAAAGATTACAGAAGTACATATTATTATTATTATAATAAAAAAGAAGCGCTAAGCCACAAGGGCTATACAGCACAGAGGTACATAATGGGTCCAGGGACTGGGCCCAAAGTTTTGATAGGAGAGCCAACTCCAGGTAGATCTGGTCACAATCATGACAAGTTACAAAGTGCACCAGCCACGCCGCTCTCAGCACATCCACAACAAGGACCAACAACCTTTCACAAGCTGTAGCAGTTCTTGGAACGTGTCCAGTGACTATATATGTGTATAGATATTATAGAACAAAGCAATAAAAAATTTTTTTATTGTTGGTTTGTGTAAACATGTTTTGTAACAATGTGTTGATAATAATTGTGCAGTTATTGTGTTGCAAACAATGAGTGGATATATATACATTACACATTATATTGGTCTCACTTTCTGTCAACTTCTCGCCTCTTATATCTTAGTAAAAAAAAAAAAAAAAAAAAAAAAAAAAAAAAAAAAAAAAAAAAAAAAAAAAAGAAAAAAAATTTTTACAACACAGAGTTTAGGATCAGAGGTCTCGACAGTGAGAGGGTTATATAAACGCACCAACCACTCCAAAACTATATCCCCACCTGCTTTTTATATTTCTATCTTTATCCTATCAATCTCTGCTGCCTTACCTCCTTTCATTCTACCCACTGCCTCACACACTTCCCCCACACTCACAACTGGTTATTCCTCACTCCTACAAGATGTTATTCCTCCTTGCCCTATACACAAAATCAACATTTTAACAATTCCTCAAAATATTCCCTCCATTTTCTCGATACCTCTAACTCTCCATTTAATAACCCTCCTCTCGTATTTTTTAACTATCAAATCCATTTGTTCCCACGGCTTCCTCAACTTATTAATCTCACTCGAAAACTTTTTCTTATTTTCAACAAAATTTGTTGATAACATCTCACCCACTCTCTCATTTGCTCTGGGTTTTCTTCTCTTTTCTTAATAGTTCTTGCTCTTGTTTATTTCCTCTTATGTCTGTGGGGAAGCAGAACTGAATACTACCTCCGTAAGCCATGCGTGTCATAAGAGGCAACTAAAATGCCGGGAGCAAGGGGCTAGTAACCCCTTCTCCTGTATATATTACTATATTTAAAATGAGAAACTTTCATTTTTCTTTTTGGGCCACCCTGCCTCGGTGGGATGCGGCCGGTACGTTGAACGAAAGAAGTATTAAGTACTGCTGGAAAGAATGTTATATACAGTACTCTGAAAGAGAAACATAGTGAAATCTTGAGAAAATGGATGAAGTTAAGGAAGTTGTTAATATAAACATTAATTTCATTTATGAAAGATAAGTTAATTAACTTATCTATTTTATTAATATCTTTATAAGTGTTTAGTCATCTATATGAGAGATGTTTGGGCATACCATTAAAGAAAGTTAAAATTACTGCTGCTTAGAAAGTAATATTTTTTCTTTTAATGAAGTTTTGTGTATTCATGCCACATGTTTGCAGGTGTGTGGCAGCAGTACTAAGTTCTGGTCTGTGAAATAAGATTGCTGTTAATTGAATAAATAAAAAATTTTGTTTCTCAGGAAATGGATGTGGTAGGTGACAATATTAATTTTGTAATACATTATTTAATATCTGTAATACAAATTGATATACAGTAACTATTTCAGCCACACCATCATATGAGATATACAAGCTCAGCAAGTCCAGCTACATCTGCAGGGACTTTCGAATCTGCCAAACCTTTCTCTGCAATTCCTGGCCCAGTCAATCTTCCAGTCATAGGAACATTGTTTCCATACAAAATAGGTTAGTACTGTATTTTTGTTTTTCTTCATTATCTGAAGTGTGTAGGGTGACCAAAAAGAAAAGAATCACCTTCACCATCATTCACTCCATTACTGACTTGCCAGAGAGGTTTTGATACTACAGTTCAAAATGGCAAATATCCCCACCCCTCCTTCAGAGTGCAGGCACTGTACCACCCACCTTCAGGCTAACCTGTTACCCTGAATACCTTCAAAGTGTTACCTTGCTCACACCTTAAATAGCTTGCTAGATTGAATGTGGCTCAACTATGGTGAACATATTCTCAAGGAGAGGCTGTGAGACAGCATGGAAGAGTAAGTCTTGTTTACTAAGTTATCTTTGCATGATTGAATAAAGTTGTGGTGCTTATCCTTGTGGGAAAAATCTTATTTTTTTTACTTGGATTTTATTCATTATTTTTTTCTTCAAACACGTCAGCCGTCTCCCACTGAGGCAGGGTGATTCAAAAAAGAAAGAAGCACTTCCACCATCGTTCAACATATACCATCATTCACATATAATCACTGTCTTTGAAGAGGTGCCCAGACACGACAGCTTAGATGTCACTCCAAACAGCCAATATTCCAAACCCCCCCTTTGAAGTGTAGACATTGTATTTCCCATCTCCAGGACTCAAGTCTGGCTATTCAAAGAAAATATGTGGGGATGATATGGTGCATGTTCTTCGTTCCCCTTTTGTAGGGAATAATAGATAATACAATTCAATACTGTTTTAGCAGAAAAATTTCTGAAACTTTTCAAAGGTACTTGACAAAATTCTCATGACAGAAAATCTAAGTTTGTGAGTGACAGAAATAGTTCCAGAATTGGTGAAACGGTTGTTAAAGCAAAGGAAAAAGTCGTCATGACTAGTTATGGTCCAAGTCAGACGAACTTTGTCATAAAATTTCAGTCTCCCTATGTGCGGGGTTTAAATTTTTTATCATAATTCAGGTAAAATTAGACTGGGGTAAAGTCTTGAATGTAGTGCTAGAGGCTCCACTTGTGAACTACCTCTAATTTACTACAGTACATAAATAAATAAAAATTAAAAACAAAAAAAAATTTATTACTATTATGATTATTATATATTAATTGATAATGAAACTAATTAAGTGATATACATTGCTAAGTAATGATACATTAATTAAATTAAAATTTAAAATAATGAAAGTTAGGCTGGGATGCACTAACCCTTGGAGGCTCCAGAGGCCAAATCGCAGAGTGACAGCCAGAGTCCATGATTTATCGAAAAAAAAATCTTTTAGAATTAAACATAATATTTGTAGTAGGTTGTAGTAGGTTGGTAGGACAGCAACCACCAGGGAAGTACTAAACCCTCCCGCCAGATGACTGTGAAACAGAAACCTGTAACTGTTTTGCATGATGGTAGGATTGCTGGTTTTTTTTTTCTGTCTCATAAACACGCTAGATAACAGGGATATCTTGCTACTCCTACTTACACTTTGGTCACACTTCACAGACACGCACATGCTATATATATATACATACATCTAGGTTTTTATCCTTTTTCTAAATAACTCTTGTTCTTCTTTATTTCTTTATTGTCCATGGGGAAGTGGAAAAGAATCTTTCCTCCGTAAGCCATGCGTGTCGTATGAGGCGACTAAAATGCCGGGAGCAAAGGGCTAGTAACCCCTTCTCCTGAAGACATTTACTAAAAAAGAGAAGAAGAAAAACTTTATAAAAATGGGATGCTTAAAAGTGCGTGGATGTAGTGAGATGACAAGAAACAGATGATTGCTGATGTTATGAATGAAAAGGTTGGATGTCCTGGCCCCCAAGCGAAACAAAGCTGAAGGGGGTAGGGAGTTTCAGTGGGGGGAAATAAATGGGATTAAATCTGGAGTATCTGAGAGAGTTAGAGCAAAGGAAGGGGTAGAGTTTAAAGTTAAAAGATCAGTTATGGAAGGAGAAAAGAGAAATGAATGTGTAAATTCAAGAATTATGTGGAAATTTAAAATAAAGGTTGGATGCGAGAAGTGGGTCATAATAAGCGTGTATGCACCTGGAGAAGAGAGGAATGCAGAGAGAGAGAGAGATTTTTGGGAGATGTTAAGTGAATGTATAGGAGCCTTTGAAACCAAGTGAGAGAGTAATTGTGGTAGGGGAACCTGAATGCTAAAGTAGGAGAAACTTTTAGAGAGGGTGTGGTAGGTAAGTTTGGGTGCCAAGGGGTAAATGATAATGGGAGCCCTTTGATTGAACTTTGTATAGAAAAGGGGGTTTTGTTATAGGTAATACATATTTTAAGAAAAAGAGGATAAATAAGTATACAAGATATGATGTAGGGCGAAATACAGTAGTTTGTTGGATTATGTATTGGTAGATAAAAGACTGTTGAGTAGACTTCAGGATGTACAGTTTATAGAGGGGCCACAGATATATCAGATCACTTTCTAGTTGTAGCTACACTGAGAGTAAAGGTAGATGGATACAAGGAGAATAGAAGTATCAGGAAGAGAGAGGTGAAGGTTTATAAACTAAAAGAGGAGGCAGTTAGGGGTAAGATATAAACAGCTATTGGAGGATAGATGGGCTAATGAGAGCATAGGCAATGGGGTCGAAGAGGTAAAGGGGTAGGTTAAAATGTAGTGTTAGAGTGTTCGCAGAAGTTTGTGGTTACAGGAAAATGGTGGGTGCGGGGAGGGAAGAGGAGCGATTGGTGGAATGATGATGTAAAGAGAAATAGTAAGGGAGAGAAAAAGTTAGCATATGAGAAGGGTTTTTACAAAGTAGAAGTGATGCAAGGAGGGAAGAGTATATGGAGAAAAAAAAGAGAGGTTAAGGAGTGGTGAAACAATGTAAAAAGAGAGCAAAAGAGAGAGTGGGTGAGATGTTATCAACAAATTTTGTTGAAATTTAAAAAAAAGTTTTGGAGTGAGATTAACAAGTTAAGAAAGCTAGAGAACAAATGGATTTGTCAGTTAAAAATAAGAGGAGAGTTATTAAATGGAGAGTTAGAGGTATTGGGAAGATGGAGGGAATATTTTGGGGGAATTTTTAAATGTTGATGAAGATAGGGAAGTTGTGATTTCGTGTATAGGACAAGGAGGAATAACATCTTGTAGGGGTGAGGAAGAGCCAGTTGTGAGTTGGGGAAGTTCGTGAGGCAGTAGGTAAAATGAAAGGGGGTAAGGCAGCCGGGATTGATGGGATAAAGATAGAAATGTTAAAAACAGGTGGGGATATAGTTTTGGATGGTTGGTGAAATTTTTTAATAAATGTATGGAAAAAGGGTAAGGTACCTAGGGATAACCTGGAGGACTGGAGGGTTTTATTAAACAAGCCACCCGGGGGTTTCCCGACCAGGCCTCCCGCATGATCAGGCCAATTTAATAGGGATGTCTGCTGGGATACCGGTAAAGGGTTTATAGAAGATTTTTATTAAAGTTTTAAGAATAAGGCAAATAATGCGATGAAAGGGCTTTGGAAAGGTTTTGGGGGGGGGACCAGGTGTTTTCTTCATTAAATGGCGTATTTTAAAAAGGCGGATTTTGTGCCCCTTTTTATTTGGAGGCGTATGACGGTGGATTTGGGCCCTTTTAAAATTTCCCAAATGTAGTTAAGGAAATTTAGGTTAAAAGGAAAGCAAATGAAGGTTTTTCCAGGTTAGGGGGGCCCGATTATATGTGGAAAAGGGAAAATTTTTTCCCTTAAAATGGCCTGACAAGGTTTGTATGGAGTGGGTTTTTAAATATTTATAGAGGGGAAATGTTTGAAAAGTAAATGGGGGTCCTGAAAGCTAATTTAAAAGAGGCGTGGACGTTGGGAAAGGATCGATAATCCCCCACAATTAGTTTGTTCCACAGTGCTCTTTCTGATTACACTGTTTTCTGGGGGATTGAAGAGAAATTAGTTTAAATTTGGTGGAAATGAATTTGGGTAAGGGTGGCAAAAGAAGAAATTAAAATATACCGGAAAGGGTAAAGGTTTTGGGATAACCGTTAGTGAAAGAAAGATTGGAATAAGATGGGGGGGGGGTATGGGGGTGAAGGTTTCAATAATTTGGGAGTGGATTTAACATGGGCCTACTTTTGGTTGATGATTAGGAATTGAAGACAAAAGTTATTCCTTTTGGGATTTTGGGCAAAGACCTTTGTCCTTTGAGGCAAAGAGGGGAATGTATGAGAGTATAGTTTTACCAACGCTCTTATATGGGTGTGAAGCATGGGTGATGAATGTTGCAGCGAGGAGAAGGCTGGAGGCAGTGGAGATGTCATGTCTGAGGGCAATGTGTGGTGTGAATATAATGCAGAGAATTAGTAGTTTGGAAGTTAGGAGGAGGTGCGGGATTACCAAAACTGTTGTCCAGAGGGCTGAGGAAGGGTTGTTGAGGTGGTTTCGGACATGTAGAGAGAATGGAGCGAAACAGAATGACTTCAAGAGTGTATCAGTCTGTAGTGGAAGGAAGGCGGGGTAGGGGTCGGCCTAGGAAAGGTTGGAGGGGGTAAAGGAGGTTTTGTGTGCGAGGGGCTTGGACTTCCAGCAGGCATGCGTGAGCGTGTTTGATAGGAGTGAATGGAGACAAATGGTTTTTAATACTTGACGTGCTGTTGGAGTGTGAGCAAAGTAACATTTATGAAGGGGTTCAGGGAAACCGGCAGGCCGGACTTGAGTCCTGGAGATGGGAAGTACAGTGCCTGCACTCTGAAGGAGGGGTGTTAATGTTGCAGTTTAAAAACTGTTGTGTAAAGCACCCTTCTGGCAAGACAGTGATGGAGTGAATGATGGTGAAAGTTTTTCTTTTTCGGGCCACCCTGCCTTGGTGGGAATCGGCCAGTGTGATAATAAAATAAAAAAATAATTTGTCTAGATGTAATAAAACAAAAAGAAATTCCGATCGCTACTTACCAAAATAGAGAAGTTGACTCTCAGTGAGCTGGTGGTGGCAACATCCGCCACTTCCGTAAAGTCGCATTTTTTATTTTTATTTTTTGTTACTTTTTCTTTTTTTTCTAATATTATTTTCCTGTAAC